CAGGCCGAGAGGAGCCCAGTCCCCTGCCCTCCCGGCAGGGCCGACCGTCTAGACCGGGCTGTACCGGAAGGGGTGGAGCCAGGACACCTCCCTGCTTCCCCACCCAGACCATGATTGGTCTGGGTGGGGGGGGGGCAACGTGAAGCCTTTGCCCCACCCCCCGAGGTTCTCGCTCCCCCTTCTGCCCTTCTGGCTTGGGGGCGGGGAGCTTGCAAAGTCTCCTCCTGCCCCCCAGGAGTGCCTGGTGCTTCTAAGCACCACGCGCTTCTGCCAGGACTGAGGAAACTTTGTGCACTTGCTGCCGCTCCCAGGTCCTAATTGGCCTGGGGGCGGGGGAACGGCAGGGCCTCTGCTGGCCGGATCTGGCCCACGGAGGCCCTTTTGCTCCCCCTGGCCTAGCCCATCCCTGCAAAGTGTCTGGCCAACCTGCTCTATCTCCAGGGATGGGGATTCCACAACCTGCCCCGGCAACTTATTCCAGAGTCAATCACCCTGACAGGCAGGAAGGGTTTCCTAATGTCCAACCTAAACCTCCCTCACTGCAGTGTAAGCCCATTGCTGCTTGTCCTGTCATCAGAGGCCAAGGAGAACAAGTTTTCTCCCTCCTCCTTGTGACACCCTTGTAGATACTTGAAACCTGCTCTCCTGTCCCCTCTCAATCTTCTCTTTTCTAAACAAGCCCAAGTCTTTCACTCTTCCCTCATGTTCTCTAGACCGTTCATCGTTTTTGTTGCTTTTCTTGAGACCTTCTCCAATTTCTCTGCATCTTTCTTGAAATGCGGTGCCCAGAACTGAACACGACACTCCAACTGAGGCCTAACCAGGGCAGAGCAGAGCGGGAGAATGACTCCTCGTGTCTAGCTCGCAGCACTCCTGTTAGTGCAGCCTAGAATCAGGTTTGCTTTTTGTGCAACATCATCCCACTGTGCGTTCATATTTAGCTTGTGGGCCACTCTGACCCCGAGATCCCTTTCTGCAGAATCCTTCCCAGACCGTCACTTCCCATTCGGTGTGTGTGAGACACGGATTGTTCCTTCCAAAGTGGAGCACTTTGCATTTGTCCTTATCGAACTTCATCCGATTGACCTCCAACCATTTCTCCAGATGAGTTTGCATGAGGAGCCTGCATATTGCACCACACAGACATACAAAAATAAAAATAGAGCAAGTGACCTCATTTCATCTTGGAAAGGCACCTCTTGACGGACTGGACCGTAATGCAAGGTTAGAATGTCGGACCCGATGGTTCCCAGCGCACCAGCCGAACGAGCGATTGGCTTGATAACACTGTCCCAGCGAAGGCTTGGGTATCCTCTAGCTTAGAACCGTAGGAGCAGTCAGCTCAAGCCAGCGTGTCCAGAGCAAGCAGCACCCGGTCTCCTGTCTGCGACTAAGACTGGGCCACCCCCCTGGGAAGCGGACCAAGAACACACATGCACACCCCGGCTGTTAATTACAGTACAACTTTTATTAATACTGGAATCTTCACAGTGCATTCGTTACTTGTAGCAGTGACTATTTAAATCAAGGGTGGGGCGGGGCACAGGATAATTATCTGGAAAAGAAACGAAAACGAGAGGGGGAGGAAAGGGTTGCAGGGGGAGAGACAGGAGCACGGGGGAAATAAATTAAAAAAGGAACAAGTTAACAACAGCACCAGAAAAGTTACTTCAGTTGAAAGACATTTTGTTTAAAGGAAACATTTTTTCTCTGTACAAAATGAAAAATGAAACCAAAAAACCCAAACATTTGTCACGCGTTATCATCTGTGGGCACAATAAGAGGGGCCGAGAGACGGGACGGAAAGAGGTTGTAACTAAATCATTATTACTAAGACAGTGTAAGGGCAACAGGGTTGCGATGCGACACACACACACACACACACACACACACACCTGGGCTGGGGTCTCCCATTTAGAGCTATGTACAGCCTGGTTTCTGCTGTGCTTCGCAAACGCAGGAGTGGGGCAGGCAGGGAGGGAGGAGAGGTTGTGCTTTCTCAAAGTGCTTTAATAAACATTTGTCAAAGCCTTCCAGGCCACTGGAGCCCAGGGACGCAGCTCGACTGCAGATCCGAGACGGCTGATTTCACATCAGCGCTGTCGCCTGGCCTGTACTGCTGCAGGCAGGGGCTCTGCTGACTGCAGTGTTTGCAAAGCACCGGGTGAGGGCAGGCTATGGGGCGATGAACAGCCAGACCAAGCCCAGAGCAACACCCCTGAAATCCTGGCCCGGCCCATCTCCCCGGCTCCCATGGGCTCAGCTGCTCTCCCGTGCCAAACACAGAGGGGT